GGGTCTTCCCCAGGAGGTTTCGTGGGGTTTGCGTGGGCCTCACTGCCCGGCCACCTCCTGCCCCCAAGGGCGGGCCGTCAAAGTAAGTGCACCGGCTCCTGCATGTTCCAGAGGCAACTGGGCTTTTACCTGAGTCTTGCAGCCAGCAGGAAGGAAAGCAGCTTGTGTCCACCCGCTGCCCTGGCCCCCCCCAGCCCCGGGTTCTGACCAGGGAGCCGGCCCTTGCTGAGCGCCCTGATGCCAGTGGCTCTGCCCACTGGCTATTTTCAGAAGCCAAGGCGGTGGAAAGTTCCCAGTGAGGATCGACTCCTCTCGTTTCCTAGGTTGAGAAAACAGGAAGCCCTTCAGAATCCGGGCTTTGAAAAGCTTCGCTGAAGCTGCGCTGACCCCCTGCCCCCTGGCACCAGACTTTCGTGGGGCCTCACAAAGGCCCTGGCTCACCAGGCCCCGCAGGGCTCTCGAGGGGCAGGGCTGGGGCAGCCATTCGCCATTGGTACCTGGTGTAAGGCTCCCAGAATTCCCCTGGTACCTGGCACATAGTAGGTGCCCAGTTAATGCTGGTTAGCTGAATCTGCCCATTCATCCTCTGAGTTCCCACGCATGGACCCCTTTCCACACTGGACATGGATGTTATTCTAATGTACATTTGCATGCATGAACATACATGGATCATATTTGAATATGTACATACATGTCACGTACATACATATTACTCTACAAACCAATACCTGCTAGGCACTGGCCACTGTGGTAACTGTCACTTGTATCACCTCAAGCTCCTCAACAGCCCTCAGAGGAAGGTAACATTTTTATATAAAGTTTACAGATGGGGAAACTGAGGCACAAAGTACTTCCGTCACTCGGGCAGGGTTCAGCAAACAGGGAGTGGCAGAGGCAAGATGCTAACCCTGGCTGGCAGGCTCTGAAGCCTGGACTCTCGCCTCGCATGTGCTCTCGGCATCCCTCTGCAGAATAGCGAGCCGTGCCGGACTGGTTACTGGTGCAAAAGAAAGCATTGAGCCCAGCACCCCCACAAAGTGCGGGGGTATCGCTAGCCATCGCAGCCACCGGCGACAGAACCCCCTTCACCAGGCCGGTGCAAGGAGTTTGTATGTCCATAGCGCCTCGCATCCACCCCAAAGGGCACACACAGTTATGATCCCCACTTTACAGATGAGAAAACTGAGGCAGAGAGGTCAAGTCACACGGCAGCCAGTTTTGTGAGGGAGCTGAGTCACGCTGGACTTGTCCAGCCCTAAAGCAGTGTACATCGCTCTCCTCCTATTTCGGGTGTTGCAGGCTCATCCCTGGACCTAGGAGGACCCAACTTGAACAGGGAGAGACTTTGAGCAAATCTCCACAGTGAGCCCTTACTTCCAGTTTTCCGTCTCTAACTGTGGGTGAGGCTGAGATGAGAAGATAGGAGACTCGGCTGTGGGAAGGACTCAGTGTCAGAACAAGGACAGGGAGGTTCATGTACCTGTGATGGGACCGCTCAACTGCCTGCCCAAAGGTGTGCACACCCCTGGGGCAGGTCACACCCTGTTCGGCCGCATTGATGGGCAGGGTCTTCTTTCTAAGAATGCCAAAGGAAGCTTTTCACAAGGCCCACTCTTCTAAGACCTCACTGCCTTGATTCCAGGAAGTAGTGTCCTCGATAAGTGGCCCAAACAGGAGAGGAGAGCTGGTGCTGTGTCCTGGGGGAAGAGGCCGCCTTCTACTTGATAAGCCTGGCCATGTGGGGCGGGTTCCTGGTTGTGCTGAAAGAGATGATGTGTACATTGGTGGCCAGTCTGTCTGTGGTGTTCCCCGCACTGTCCTTTTAAAGGCCTCTTTGGGGGGCTGTACATGCTGTGGGTCAAGGGACTGTGTTTAAGTCATGTAATAGGTATTTCCTGGATTTCATGTTAAAGGAAGGAGTTTGGTGTGCAATAGAGAGCCTACAGCGCATTAAATAAACAGAGGGAAGCTAGGCCATGGACAAGGCTCAGTGGAGCATCAGCCTATAACCAGGAGGTCACGGTTCGATCCCCAGGCAGGGCACATGCCCAGGTTGCAGGCTTGGTCCAAGTGTGAGGCATGCAGGAGGCAGCCGGTCAATGATTCTCTCTCATTATTAATGTTTCTATCGCTCTCTCCCTCTCCCTTCCTCTCTGAAATCAATAAAAATATTTTTAAAAAGATAAAAATTAAAAGACAGAAGGAGAGAAACGTACTGAAAATCTGCCACAAGAACCAACTCCCTTTCTACCATGATTTTTCTAAAGTTACCATTTAGACAACTTTCCCCAACAAATCCATAGGAAGGCATTTTGTATGTTAAAAACTGTCAAACCTATTATTGCAGAGAACAAAAATGTGTTTTGAAAAAAAAAAAAAAAGCCGACTGTCTTTGGCTCTAGAAAGTGAGTCTGATCTGTGTGTTGGTGCCTCTCACTCGCCCCTACTCTCTCTTTTCTGTTGTAGTTAACGAAATCATCAGGAAGGAGTTTTCAGGCCCTCCCACCAGAAATCAGACGTAGAAGCCGCCATTAGCAAGACGCCTTCAGTACCTGTCCCCTCAGAGCCCTCCACACCCCTCCTGTCTTCCTGAGGGTCCCGCCCGCCCGGAGTCCCAGCGGGCAGCGCTCCTCCTGGCAGGCAGCCGACTGGTCCAGGAGCTCGCCACCTCTCTCCTGAAACACAGCGAGGACGCTCTGGCTTTTGCTTTTTTTTTTTTTTTGTCTTAAATCCCAAAGAGCATCTCGGTGGACTTTAATGGTGTCCCGTCCAAACCTGAAGTGCCTGCTGACCAAAACCAAATTCTGATCAAGACAGCACGCCGGACCGCACGGCTGGTGGGGGATGGAAGGCGCGGCCCTGTGGTTAAACCCCCGTCCTCGACTCATTTTCCCAGCTCCGCACCTTCCGGAGGAGAGGCGTTCCCGAACGGAACAGGCAAAGGAACGTGGCCCGAGCGTCCAGCTCACAGCCTGGAGAAACAGAGGCCAGCCCGCCGTCCTGAGGGCCGCCCGGGTGTGCCACAGCGGGGCCACGGCTAACGCGAATTCTTAAATTCTCATCCGGAAGCAAAACTGCCTGGCCCCGACAAGATCCTCCGTTAGAACTTCTTGGAGTTAAGTTATGACATGTATGCGTTTTCCCTGCTGTGTAAGGCTGGCCGAGGTGGCTGGAGGTGGCGCCGCCCTGGCCAGCAGCTCCCGCCCTGCAGCGCGCCCCCGACTGGAGAAGGTGACCCGGGCTGCAGAGTGAGCGCCCTGGCTGCAGCCACAACCTAAGGGCTCTGTAACGTCCCGTGCTTTCTTCCTAACAGCCAGAGTGCTTTCCCATCAAGGCGTTAAGAGAACCCTACGCATGTGCATTGCATTTTCAGAAGGAATGGCACAGGGCTAAAGGAACTCCCCCCCCCCAAAAAAAAGCACAGGTATTTTTGTGAAGTGGTTGTGAAAAGAGGCAGTTGGCAGGCCTGAGTGAGTGGGCTCCCCAAAGCAGGGGGAAAGGGCCAAATTCCCTCTTTCTGGCCTAGACTCCAAGTGGGACCCGCAAGCTCAGGATCTGGCCCTGAAGGTCATTGGTTATTTTGACCTGAACCTATTGAAAGCCCCGCTCAGCCCCAAAGACCTTTCTGCACAGCTGCCTCCTCCAGCCCAGGACTCATCTGAGTAGGGCAGGCCCACCCATGGTGCACCCTTAGGTATGCGTGGCCCCGCCCCCTCGTTTCTCTCCCCTGAGCACATCCAGGGTCCTCCAGCACCTCCCTCCTTTGGTGCAATTTTGCCAACAAAACTCTCAAAGTTCTTAGCAGGTGAGTTTTTATCATAAAGATGTATTTTGTTTGCATTTCCTGCAGACACCCCAGGACATGCCGGGGGTTCGTTCTCAGCCACTCAGTGGCTTCCCTAGTAACCGACAGTGAGTGTATGCCTGGCTCTGCGAGAGGCTGTGCTCCAGAGATTTCAGATCAAGTCCGCTAGGTAGAGGGGATCACGGCAGGCGGGGGTCCCCTGTGGGTTTTCTCAGTGCTGGCTTTCTCATCGAGGTTCCCCAGAGGTCACACCTCCCCGGGAGCCGGGCCCGGAGCGCAGGACTTCGTGACTGTGGCCCGTGTGTTTGGTGCCCCAGAGAGAGGACAGAATGCCCAGGTTGGGCCTTTGCACCCTCCTGTCTATCACCTTTTGCTCAAGATAACCTTTGACCCAAGGGCAGAGGCCCAGGCTTCCACCCACCCAAGCACAAAGTTTAGCAAAAATCCTTTGAAACAGAATGCCAGTAAGAAGGCGACCGCTGCTGCAAAGCTTCGGGGATGCAGAATTCTTCCTAATAGAGATCCTTCCACAAGCAGCTCTACCCAAAGACCTTTCTCGCCAGCAACGCTGACTTCACCGGGAAGCGTTTGAGTGTGCGGCGAGTGACGTGCTCTCGTGGACCTGGCCAGGAGCCACTTCTTTTGCACATGAGGAAATTTGGCCTTTCCTCGGTTATCTGAATGTCTTACCCAAGTGCCTTCCTGCTATTGTAGCAAAGTCGCGCAGCTTCCCTGAGCATGGGGAGAAAAAGGACTAATGCATTTTCCATCCATCTTCTAACCATGTTAGTGGCAAGGGCCTCCTGTGAGTTCAGACCCCTGTATGTACACGTGTGTGTGTGTGTATGTGTGTGTGTGTGTGTGTGTTTTACACACACAAACTCTCTTTTTCTAAGACATCTTAGCTGGATATTATAGGAAGCATTTCCACGAAACAACGATGCCAGACAGCAAAGGAAAGAGAAGCAAGGACATTCGTTTTGAGACATAAATAGGCAAGCAAACATGCTATTAGGAGCCGACAGCTACGGAGAAAGTTTTGTCAGTTACAGATGCCGGAGGAAATTTTGCCAAGAGTAATTGCTCACGAACTACTTTCAGGATGTGAAGAGGCCGCCATGTCCTCTAAGAGAAGGAGAAAGCAGGGACGTCTACGTGGTGAAGGGGTGTGTGTTGCCCATGTGTTAGAAGGACCTCGGTGAGGTGGACGTTTGCACTTGCTACCTTCAAGGTCAGTGCGACAGGTAGCACTTCTAGCAGAGACCTACCGTGTTGCTGAATGTAGTCTGTCTCCAAAGTTTGCCAGTCTTCCCGCGTTGTACAAAAATACTGCTGCTTGATAATATATAATAGCGATCCAAATTAATTAGTATGTCATTAAATTTTATTTTCTTATCTGTATTTTTATGCTTTTTATCTGTCCTCAACATAGTGCACCCCGGTTGGAATTAGAAGAATATTTATAAATGGTCAAAAGTCTTTTTCCAGTGTACCTTTTAACACCTATGTTGATTTTTGCCCCCTAAGAGAAATGATGTATTCTTGAAAAGGTGTTAATCATTCCAGGAAACAAGACAAAACCCCACCTCAGAGCCTGTTAGTCGCCTGTCTCCCAGGCAGAAGCATCTCTGGAGAAAGGGGGAGTGGCTTTGTGGCAGAAGGAACCACCTGTCTTGCTTGAGACCAGCGCTGCCTGACTCCAGCTCTGAGCCTCGATCTTGTCACCGAGGGGAACTGCATTGTAAAGTGTTTAGATCCCCCAGTAAGTAGATGGTATCAAACACCTGCCTGTGTTGTAAGGGGATTCCGGAAGCACCCGTGTTCACAGAACGCCAAGTGCAGGCTAATGTTTACAGAGCTGACTGAATCCCGGTAGATGACCCCGCACACACACGATGCAGAGGACACGGCCTCTGATGACGTGCCTGGCTCCTTCTAAGAGCTGGGAAGCGCTGGGGTGCTTTTCCTGCTGCCGTCACCTCGGCCGAGGTCGAGGCTGCCCCATTGAGACAGATCGGAAGCCAATGTGTTCTGATTGTCACTCTGGACGAGAGCGAGGCAGAATTTGTTTATTTTCATGTCAAAAGACACTTCCCAAGTGCTTTCTATAGTTCAAAATGGAAAACAAGAAGCAGGGGATGGTGACATTCTTGGCAAGCAGGGCGATAGACGTTCCTGAACGTATATTCTTGGAAGGGCAGCACTCTAGCAGGCACCCAACACACCTTGACCTGGTGTCTTCCAAGCTTGAGACGTGGGCATTCAGGCCCACGGAGCCCCACCGACCAACGTGCGTGTTTTCCTGCATCCCCGCTAAATACGTAAGCAAAAGGGAAGCTGGGATGGCAGGCACCCATCCCCCCAGCTTTCCCGAGTCCCCGAGTTATAGCCAACATCACTGTCTTAACTCAGTTTGTTCAAAAGCAAACTTCTCTGGTGCTGGTGAGCTAGAGGTGCTCCCCGAGCAAGTCCCTCCCAAGGCGGAGCCGGGGTGCCGGGTGCTGGGTGCCGGGGGAAAGGTCGAATTCTGCCTGACGCAGCTGTTGCCCGAGGAGAATGAACACCTGCCTCTTCAGGGTTTGCATGAACTGGATGCAAATGATGCTGCTTCCAGGAGAGGAGGTGCTTCCAGCATTCTGATTGGCTGCGGGTGGCCGAGCTTAGCATCCTGAACACATGGGCAGAACCTCACTTACCCCCGTGGCCTCCGCGGCCCTCCGAGGGGAGGGAGGGCTGAGAATGTCCGCCTGACTTCCTCGCGATCCACGTCTCTCCACCCGGTGCTGCTGGCAGGCTTAGGTTTTGAACATCGACTGTTAAAGGAGTTTGAATACATCACATTCCTATGCAAGACGTTCTTAATCTCCAGTTTAATGTAGTTTATTTTTGCTATCTGTAAAGTATTTTTATACGGCTTGTATCATGATAGTTTAGCAATAAAAGAGTTGAAAGCACCAGCTACTTTGGAGTCTCGTTTCTCTGGAGAGACAGGCTGCTCAAGAATCCCCTTTCTGTGTTGAGTTCACACAGCAGGGAGCCTTTTTGGGGTACACACACCGTGCATATGTTTACTCCTCATCTCGGCCCTCTGAGGGGGAACCATTCACTTCACTCCTCCCACTGGGGCGCAGAAGCCACCTGCCCGACACTGTGGAGCCATGCGGTCACCTGCATTTGTCAGATTCCCTTGTCCCCCGTGGCCCTGCCATCGCCAGCGTCCCTAGGCCTCTAGAAGGAGCACCCAGATAAGTTAGGTTTATAACGTCTAACCATTCACTTCACACCTCATGGGGGCTCCCAGAGCATTTACAGCCAACGGGGCTGAGCTGGCCACTCAGAACGCAAAAGCAGATCTCTGCTTAAACATCTTACAAAATTCCAAGTTTAAAAAAAAAGGGGGGTACCCTTTATCATCAACCCACAAACAGAATTTTACAATTAGATATTACAAATACTAGAACTTTATAGCTGGCTTACAACTATGCCCTCTGCCCTCACCTTATAGCGACAACACCTAAGAGGTTTGGAAGTTGTTGCTGTTTAAGTCTTAACAATATTGTTCAGCCTTCATTCCACTCTCAGTGCTACCCGTAAGCCCCAGGCCCCTGCCTCAGGGACCACTCACCCCTGCTCTTGGGATGCCTCCTTGGGGATTTTCCAAGCCTCCTCCCAGGGCCTGCAGCCAGCATCACCATATGCGCGGGGCCCCACACACATACAGGGCCATGCATAGGTGCTGCTGCTGGAAGCGTCGACCTTGAAATGCCCTCTGGTGACAGGGACCAGCTGGCTCCCACTTCTTTCCGTCAGGGCACCAGGTCAACCAGATGCCCCAAAGAGCTCCAGAACCTGCACCTAAAGGGTCCAGACCAGTTTCCAGAAGAGGCTCCTGGTGAGCAGACTGCCCCTGATGGCCAGCCCCTAAGTCCTTTTCCTTTTTTCCCCGTGGGATCATGGGAGACTGGCCCACCAGAACGGCGCTGAGACACCTATCTGAGGGTGCCTCAAATTGCTTATGTAGACAGGAGCCCCACAAAAAACCGTTACCTAGAGGCCACTAGGCCCCTTACGGTTTCTGCTGTGGCTGCACACAACTGATTTTCTTGAAGTTAACTCGCTTTCTGAAAACTTTTTACCCCTTTTCCTGAATAGAAGCCCAGAACCATCTTAAACAGAAAACAAGGATAAAAAGATACAGCTGTTCACCATTTCTGTGTGAGCCACGCTGGGTAAACGCAATCAAATTCAGCCCGTGCCTTGTTTCCCCAGATAGAAAACGAGGGTAAGCACAGTCCCACCTCCCAGATATGGGATGCTTTGTAACAAACGTTAACAATTGATACAATCGCCATGGTTTAGCAAACAGAGTTAAGACTCACCCAGAGCTGTACCTCCTGTCCCGACATCTCAGGGAAAGATTCAGAGCTCTGACAATAGGTATTGAATTTTTCTAACCAGATCCTCCAAGACGAAAATGTGAGCTTATCCAATTTTCAAATCCTGATCGGAAAGGGAAACCTCTCGGCCCTGGGCGACTTTGCAAACCTGTGACTGTCCCTCCTCGCTCCGGGCAGCCATAGTGCAGTGGAGTGTGGATCTAGCTGATAGACACTGGGTTAGCAACCAGGGGGGCTCAGAAGTAATGAGATCTAGGGGAGAAAACAAAACGCTGTCTCCTCACAGCCTGTTCAGGTTCATCAACTGGAAAGAAACTGGGTTTTTGCAGGAGTTGGTTGAATGTGAAATATCGGGGAGAAGAAGGCACAGACCACAGGGGCCAAATGAAATGGAAGTGAAGTTGTTTCTTTGGCTTGAGGAACCTTGGTAGCTGTGAGGAGCTACATGAGACGAGTTTGCTGTCAACGTTATGCCATTTTATGGTATAAAGATGAATGGGGTTGGACCAAACCGTCTGCAGAAAGGGCTTCCCACTTTAAACTGTCTCCCCCGCACCCCTCCCTCATGGGAAATAAACCCATGCACACATGGTCAGCTCATTTATGACAAAGGAGAAGGTTACTCGATGAGGGAAGGGTAATCTTTTCACTAAATGGTCGTGGGGAAACTGCAGTTTCCCCCAAGAGATGAAAATCCCTGCCCTGTGCCAGGATTTCCGGATATTCTTGCTTTCCTAGAAATTTTAAACTCTGAAGCTCAGCACAGAACTCCAGACAGAAAGTACAGTGACAACCTGATCTTAACCTTTTATTATTATTACTAGAGTCCTGTTGCACGAAGAGATTCATGCAATAGGTCTTCCCCTCTCCTGGCTGCCGGCACCAGTTTTCCTCCGGCACCCGGGACCCAGGCCTTCGCTCCGGCCGGAGCTGCCTTCCATCTTCGCGGGTCTGGCTCACCTTCAGTCTTAGCCCCGCCACTTGGAGCCTACATATGCAAATTAACCATCATCTTTGTTGGCGGTTAATTTGCATATCACGCTGATTAGCCAATGAGAGGCGTAGCGAAGGTATGGTCAATTATCCTGTTTGTCTATTATTTGATTAGATTATTACTAGAGGCCTGTTGCATGAATTCATGCACCAGTGGGGTCCCTCAGCCTGGCCTACGGAATCAGGCTGAAACCAGTTCTCCGACATCCCCCAAGGGGTCCCAGATTGCAAGAGGGCACAGGCCAGGCCGAGGGACCTCACCAGTACACAGTCGGGGCCAGGGAGGGATGTGGGAGGTTATCCAGTTAGGGAGGGACTTCAGGAGGGCTCCATGGCCGGACCCCAGCAGCGAGTTAACCTACCAGTTCGAGCGTCTGCCCCCTGGTGGTCAGTGCACGTCATAGTGAGCGGTTGAGCGGCTTTAGCATATCATTAGCATATTACACTTTGATGAACGGCTGACAGGCTGACCAAACATTTAGCATATTATGCTTTTATTATATAGGATTATTATTAGCAGAGAGGGAGGAGATCACAACCTCTGTGAGAAGCTGATGAAACTTCCCACAGAGTGCCCCTAGAACACACTGCTGCTGGCCCCCTGCCCCTCATGTCATCAGGGCAGCCTTCAGTAAAAGCATCTGCAGGGCAGTCTTACCTACACTCCACATATACATTCTGCACACTCAGGCCCCTCCTGTGTGACTTCTTGATGGCCATAAGCCATTTCTAGCTCAAGGGGACCTCAACCTTCCAAATTCCCAGTCTCCTCACCCCACCCTCCAAGCACAGCCTTTTTATGGCAACACCATCTGAGCAGTTGCTTAGTCAATAACCTGGATGTGACCCTGGCTCGCTTGCTGTCCCCAGGCCCCACACATCAACACGTCTTGGCGGGTCCACCTCTGAAGTCACACCTCCTTGCCTCAGGCTCACTGGACCACCTTTATCTCCTGCCTGGACGACAGAGTGGCCCTTTGCCGTCCGGGTTCCCTCCTGTCCTCACAGCCACCAGGTTGAGCCTAAAGAAAACTCACATCACACCTATGCTTAAGGACTTCCAATAATTTCCCTTTGCATTCATCTCCCTCCCCCCAAATTTACTAAGGTATAATAGACAAATAGAAAGTGTATATATTTACGGTATACAACATGTAAAAATTGTAGAATAATTACCAAAATCAAGCCACATATCAGCTCACATAGTTACCTTTGTCTGTGTGTGTGTGTGTGTGTGGTGAGGCATTTGAGATCTATACTCTTAGCAACTTTCAAATATGCATTAGGTTTCCAGAGCTCATTGTTCTCATAGCTGTAAGTTTGTACCTTTTGACCAAAATCTCCCTATTTCCCCCAGCTCATCCCTAGTAACCAGATATAAACTCATGCATATATGGTCAGTTAATTTCTGACAAAGGAGCAAGGTTATATGATGAGGAAGGATAATCTTTTCACTAAATGGTTGTGGGGAAACTGGGCCCCCCATCCCACACCACACACAAAACTCAGTTCAAAATGGATTGAAGACTTAAACATAAGACCTGAAACCATGAACATCCCAGAACAAAACATAGGTAACCTTCTGGACATTAGTCTTGGCAATGATTATTTTTTAAATTAACACCAAAAGCACAGGCCACAAAAGCAAAAAAAAAGTCAACAAGTAGGGCCACATCAAACTAAAAAAGCTTCTGCACAGCAAAGGAAACCAGCTAAGTGAAAAGGCAACCTTTAAAACAGGAGAAAATATTTGCAAATCTGACAAGGGGTTAATATCCAAAATATATAAAGAACTCATAACTCAATAGCAAAACAAACAAACAATTTGGTTTTTATAAAAAATGAGCAGAAGAACTGAGTAGACATTTTCCCAAAGAAGACATACAAATGGCTAATAGGTATACAAACACATGCTCGACTTCACCAATCAGCAGGGAAATGCAAATCAAAACCACAATGAAATATCACCTCATAGCTGATAGGGTGCCTGTTATCAAAAAGACAAGAGCTAAGTGTTGGCAAGGAGGTAGGAATGTAAATGGGTACAGTCAATATGGAAAACAATATGGAGGTTCCTCAAAAAATTAAAAATAGAACTATAATAGGACCCACAATCCCATTTCTATGTCAACATCCCAAGGTAATGAAAACAGGAACTCAGAGAAAATGTGTGGACTCCATTTATGTATGGAATCTGAGTGGGGAGAGTCAAACTCATAGAAACGGTAGAAAAGTGGTTCCCGGGGATTGGGAGAGGTTGGTAAAAGGGCACGCGCATTTAGCTATAAGATGGATAAGTTCTGAGAATCTAACGTATAACATGGTGGCCACAGTTGACAACACTACTGTATACACTTAACGCTTGAACAACGAGGGGGTGAGGTGTGCTGACCCCATGCAATCCAAAATCTGACTCCAAAATTTTACGAATAGCTTTCTGTTGACTAGAAGCCTTACTGGTAACATACAATCGATGACACATATTTTGTTTATTATACGTATCACATACCATATTTTTACAATAAAGCAAGCTAGAGACAAGAGTTATTAAGAAAACCATAAGGAAGAG